TTTTTTTTTTTTTTTTTCTTTTTCAAGATAAAAAAGAGGCACAATTGACGACAATTACCCTGTGAATGATCTAAGAGTCGCAACACTTGTGCATTGAAAATCAATATTTTGCAATGTCAGGTTCATTATTGAACAAATTATCACAATGTGGAACGATAAAAGAAAGACAACAACATATGAATACAAAGAAAAAAAGTACCAATTTTAGACAAACATTGATAAGAAATCAATATCAAGTGCAACCACCGGATGGGTCGTAATCTCAACAACTGAAGCCACAATAACTATTATTTGAGTTGGAGAACAGAAGAAACATTCAAAATCTGGTCCACGGATGGCCAACAATCCTGAGAGACCTCTTCACACCAAGCACAAGATGCGAGATTCATTATCATCAAAACAAAAATATAAAACCAGGAAAAACCTAGACATAGAGAAGATTTCACCCAAACTGCCTATAGACGGACATGAACTTAAACGCCCAACGGAGCATCAAAGGTATGGATAAGATAGGTGAGCACTAAAGCCAACAGCATTAGCCCATATGCAATGCCCTGGTCGATTGCAGTTCCTGCAGGATAAAAGATTACAATTTTACTTAACAATGCTTGGTATTTTCTTATCAGCAGTGGTAAAATAAAAACGAAAATAAATCATCCATTAGAAGCTCAGAATACGAGTACAGATGTCATGAGTGGTGGATCTAACAAAAGTTGACAGAACAGGACATGGTCAAATGATTTCAGATAAGTGAAGTTCTGTTGAGGTAAAATACGAAAATAAGTATCGAAACAATCTATTGTGCAATTGCTCGCACTTTTCTTTTCCTTCTTTGTTATTTTCAACACATTTTGTCAACTATACGCAAAGGATGCCAACCTGATGTGTGCCTGTACTTTTGTTATGTGTCTAAGATGTCTGAACGAAGATGCCGCAAGCCAAGTAAGATTTGGAGAAGGAAAAATGGGAGATGGAAGAAAGAAAGACATTTACTCAAATAAACTAAATGCAACAAATTCCGAAATGTGACGACCATTTTGAAAGTTAAAACACAAAAGATGCAACCAATTGAATAAAGAAAGGCATATATGTTCTCATATTTCTCAAAGCAACAAAGTGAATTAGCATTTAGCAAAAAACGAGTTACATAGGATGTTAAATTCCTACAAAGGACCAAGAAAACTATGCTCTATGCTCAGATATTTGATTTAAATGAAAACACCAACACGTATAACATTGAACAAAAGATTTACGAAATTTGAATGCGAAAATATACATCGCCTATGTTTTCGTCACTTCAATTAGATCAAACATGCTGCAAAACGACGAAAGAACTTTCAAAGCTCATTCACAACCTCAATAAGTAAACAATATCTGAACATGGATAACTCACCGGTTATCTAAATTCTAACCACTAGTCAAAAACTAGAAGAATGGCAAAAGATTCATATTCAAGAGCGACTCTGAACTCATATTCGGGAGGAAGTGCCGATCGAAAAGCATTTAGCCACACAAGGGTTTCCCAAAATTGTACCAAATTATACTGAGAAAAGAGTAGAAAGCTAGGGAGGAATAAGATCACAAATACATTCACATAACCATCTCCATTAGCAACTGATGTAATTTCTGCACAATTCAAATCTACTTGCATTTATGGAAAAATTAAACACAAGAAAGATAACATCACATTTACACAGATCACAACGCACTAAATGAATTCAAATTTTTTTTCTTCCACGGGTTAAAATCTGTAAACCAAAACCAAAATCATGTAAGGTCTATCCAAATCTCATCTGAAATCAAGTTCATTTGGTGCCACCAAATAAGGGCACAACATACTGAATTACTAAATTACAACTAAGATTGGATTATATTCGAACAGATTGTTCGTGATTTACTAATAATCTAAAAAACCTCTAAAACAAATAAAATACAATAATTACCGTCACTGGCCGGAGCCGGAGCCGGCGCCGGCAAGGGTTGGCCCTGAATCGCAGGCAAGAAGATCGCACAAATCAGAGCAAATGCTGCAAATACTCCGAATGAAACTTTGGTATTGACTGCCATTTGGTCTGTTCGATCTCCCTCTCTCTGCGCAATTAGCCTTCTCCGGTGAATTTCTGGGTGGCTCTACGCCTAGAGAGAGAAAATACGGAAAAGAGAGAGAGAGGAATAAAGCTCCACGCTCTGTTACAAGAAAAATAAATAAATAAATAAATAAATAAATAAATAAATAGGGAAACGAACAGTCTGTGTATGTATGGTGGGCATGCAACTGTATAAAGGGAAAGCATATGTTTTTTTGCAGCTTTTTTTAATCCCCATTGGTTTTATTCCATGTGCTCTTCTGTCTTTGGATTCCAAAGTTTACCGGAAGAACCGGTGGCCGGTGACAAGGGGATGAACAATCCATTTCATTTATTTTTATTTTCTATGAGAATTTGTTTAATTATTTGTTTTGATGCACACTACTTGTAACATGCAATTAGGAGATTTGATTAAAAAAAAAAAAATCTTCGAAATTACTGATCCGTACCGAACCGCCATTAGAATCGAATCTCCGAACCGAAATTTGGTTCGGTTCAGAACAGAGATTTATTAGAACTGGTTCGGTTTCGGAGATCCAATTTTTGGAATCTTCGAACCGAACTGACCCGTACTCGGCACTAGTTGTACTAAACATTATAATTTGATTGGATTTTATATAATTCTATATTCCGAAATACCAGCAAGAAAGACATTTTACATGAAGATATACATTAAAGTGTTTTCATTTATTTTATATGAACTACTATATTTTACAACTATCGATTTTTTTTAGTATATAAAAATATTTTCTTAAATAATATATGCATAAGATGATTTGCATTACCAAAATTACACATGTTTAATCATACATTAATTATATTAGTAGGTAATTCAAGGATTTTTTTGCTTTCACAATGGAGGAGCTCGCAAGAGTCGAGCCTAGCATTATGGAGCATAGGTTGAATATCAATCGGGAGGTCAAATTAAAAAAAAAAAAAAATAGGTGACACCATGGAGCATAAATGAATAAGGTTATAAACTATAGAGCAGAAGGTGGAAAAGTTGTTAAAGGTCGGACACATCCTAGAGATACAACTTCCCGAATAGCGGTCTAATGCAGTAGTGGTGACCAAAGGGGGGAGGGGGAGGGGGTGTGGAGTAGAGAATGTGTATCGATTTTCATGAACTAAATAAGTCTTGCCCGAATGATCACTATCAAGGCCGAGGATCGATAAGTTGGTCGATTCCAAAGTTGGTTTTTTGAACATAATGGTATCATGTACCATAGGTCTTATTAAGTTCCATATTTAAGATGTGTATAGAAAGAAGGACATTCTTTGTTGCTAGTAATACATGAAGGACGTTGAGGTGATCACAATAAGGCTTGGTCGCTTATAGCTAAGGTGTTAAGGACGGGGTACTTTTGACCCACTATGGGAGTTGATGAGACCAAACTGGTAAAGGGGTATGTTCAATGACAAAAGCACGACCCAATCTCACATCAACCAGCTGAGAAAATGACGACCGTGAGTGCGCCAATCCCCTTTGCACAATGGAGAATAGAGGGCCCCTACCTCAAGGAACGAGCAGAAGAAATTATTTTGTAAAGGAATATTGCTACACTCTCTTCGATGAAAAGTTTTTTTTACGTTTACTACACCCATGCATACCAGTTTCACGCATCTCTACGCACAACCGCATTAACACCGATGCCTCACAACCCATACCATCTTTGAATCTTTGTGGGTATCCTTCAAGCAATTCGTTTAGCCAATCTAATCCTATAAGTATCCTTCAAGCAATTGGTTCCCGTTGTTGCGCTTATGAGTATAGGTCGAGCAAATGTGCAAATTGGCAACCATCATGTGTTGTCCTCTACTGGACCGTCAAACAAGTCATCGTCCTCTTTGTCGAAATCATCAATGTTCTCTTTGCCACTTGATATCCTACAAGTGAAAACAAATAATTGTTTGCCAAATATGCATATTATATCATCCTCTTTGTCGAAATAATCAACATTCTCTTTGCCACTTGACATCCTACAAGGTAAAACGAATACCAAATATGCATACTAAACAAATGTAATCATGTCAAATAACATAATAATAAGGTTAAATAAGCACATTTCTGAAGCAATAAATCATGTCCACATGCATGAAAAAAAAAA